GTTTTCTTTTGCATATTTACTATTTTTTCCATGAAGTAGCCTTTCAGTTTGTCCATCTGTATAGTTTGACATTCAGACTGTAATAAGCTCAACTCTGCCATCACCGGTGCTTACAAATGCTAGTCATTCAAAATGTCAAAATTTGGATTTGACCCAAGAGTTACAAATAATATAAGCTTTTATATAAATACATCCAAATATATGTTCTTAGGGGGAAAGGAATAAATAAAATACTGTTTATGGAATGGTTTTAAACAGTTAGGCTTTAGAATTGCTACATGCCCAAAGTATTTCTCCAGTGAATTGCATACTGTATCAGTTCATGAATTGTGTTATAGGAAAAGTAGTTAGTACTATTGACCTCAATACTACTGAAAATTCTAGTTGACAGAAATCAATATAATAGTTTTGGAAAAATGATGCATACTCAATTTAGACAGTTTTATATCTTTCTAACATCATGACAAAATCTGCTTTACCGCTTAAATTTTTATTTTAAAAATAAAATATTTGTACAAATGCAGTTTTAAAAGTCAGATAATTCAAGGCTTATACAAACAGCAGTTACCCATCTCTTCTCTTCTTATCTCCAATTCCCAGTCCTTAGAGGCAATCAACTTTAATTTTTTTATGTGCCTTTATTTTTCTGTCAGTTCTGCTTTTTGCTGGTTTTTCATTTTAGATAGTAGCTCCTGACTTCCTTCTAAGAAAAATGAGGATTAGTCACCTCAATCTCTGTACCACCTGCAAACATTTATACATGCTTCCCTTTCTGTCTTCCTTTTATTGGATACCAGATTTTTGGGTAAATCCTTTATTTAGTATTTAAATTATGACTATGCAGATATTTTTCACAGCTGAGTCACAAAATCCACTATGATGTATTTTCTGTTTTTGTCCAGCTCATTGTTTTCCCAAATAATTATTTGAGTTTAAAATTTTATGTACTTTATGTCTATTATTAATTCATTCATAATTAATTCTCTGACAAATCTAAACTATCTTTTAATATTGTTGGACACATCAGGTAATCCATTTTTTTATGCTGCCATGCCTTCTGTAACCTGTTTAGAATGCAGACTTTCACATAATTCTCCCTGTTTTTCAGTAAGGCATTTTGTCTTGCTTTCTTTCATTTGTGCCTTGTGTTCCTAAGATCAGGGTCTCTGGTCCACTCTCTCGAGAAGTTCATCTCTAGACTTTCATCAGAGATGGGCATGAGATAGGTTCTCAGGGTGAGGCCACTTAAATGAACTTTCAACCAGTTATCTGGCTTCCATCCCCTTCCTGCGTTTTTGTCTTCATGCTTCTAAACACTTGAACCTCTCCAGGATGGCTCAGCTTGCACGGCTGCTTTTTCTCCCAGTTGTGATATAGTAAAATATACATAACATAAAATTCACCATTGTGAATTTAAAGTGTACAGTTCAGTGGCATTAAATGGATTCAAGTTGTGTAAACATCACTCCCTGTCCATCAGTCTCCAGAACTTTTCCATGGTCCCAAACGGAAACCCTGTACCTGTTAAGCTGTAATATCCAGCCCTTGGCAACCATTCTTCTTCCTATCAGCCTGCTTCTTGGTGGCTTCTTCCTCTCAAGTGTAGGTTTCACCTTTCTTGGTCTTGTTAGGTTAGTTACCACTTTTTTCCCTTTCTAGCTTCCCAAATATTGTTGACTTCTTTCATTTGCTGTTGCATCTTTCCTTATTTTCTGTGTCCTTATGGATTTTATATTTCTAAAACAACTCTAAGTTTTTTTTTGTTTGTTTTGTTTGTTTTTTAAATATATCTTTATTGATTTCAGAGAAAGGAAAGGAGAGGGAAAGAGAGAGATAGAAGCATCAATGATGAGAGAGTCATTGATCGAGCCCCCAACCCGGGCATGTGCCCTGACCGGGAATTGAACCCCGATCGCCTGGATCCCAGGTCGACGCTCAACCGCTGAGCCACGCCCGGCTGGGCATAACTCTAAGTTTTTAAGGTGAGGTATCAGGAAGGAGTCAGGGTTAGTCATGCTTAACCGAAGGCCTGCTTTCCACATTTTTTACTTTAAAAAAATTATATAATATATATTTTTATTAATTTTAGAGAGAGGAAGGGAGAGGGAGAGAGAGACAGAAACATCAGTGATGACAGTCATTGATCTGCTTCCTCCTGCTCGTCCCCCATTGGGGATCAAGCCTGCAACCTGGGCATGCGCCCTGATGGGGAATCCAACAGTGACCTCCTGGTCTGTGGGTCAGCGCTCAGCTGCTGAGCTACGCTGGCTGGGCACATTTCTTACATTTTTAAAATTTGGGGTTTTTAAAATTAAGAATTAAAATACAGATATGCCAGGCAGTTGTATAGCTCTATTGGCTATGAAATTAAGCTTTATACATGGGCACCTTTTTTATCACTGGTTCCTATTGTGTTGGCAGGGGTTTGATTCCTGAGACCTATTGCAAACCCTGCAACTCCCTCCCCTCTCCTCCCTGCAAGCCTAAGATAGTGCCACTGTTTCGGGACATGCTCTGTGCTACTGCAGCAATTTTCATAGCAATGAGAACCTGGCCCTTCCATGGGAAGTGATTTGGGGAAGTAGACTGCTACCTAGAAATTTTGTAAAAGTTTGTTACTCGAGGTGCAGTTGAAGTATTTCCTCCTCTGTGCAATTTCTCTGAGTGCCCTAGGCAGCGTTAATTACTCCTGCGCCATGGCATCCCTGAATAATTGTTTTATTCTATTATGTTAGATATCTCTATCTACGCTGGGTATCTACATTACGGTATATGTTCTGTCTTGATCTTTCTTTCTTAGACGTAGTGTTTTTCAAAGTTTGAAGAACATTCTGATAGCTTTTGGTCCACGGTAGGTAATAAATAATTATTTACTAAATGAATAAATAATCCATCTGGATTGACTGAATTTTCTGTTTTCTGGCAAAAATACTGTCATTGTGCCCTTCATCACCAATGTCCATTGGAAGCTATGCTAGAAATTGTTAAATGCTTTTTGCTTGTTACTGTGAGTCAGTTCTGTGTGGTGATTTGCGGTGTGGCCAGAATGTCTGGGTTCAAAAAATCTAGAAAGTTTCTTAGCCTCTCTGTACTTTCGGTTTCTTTACCTATAAAAGAGAGATAATAGTAATAGCTACCATGTAATGTGAGGATTACAGTAATATATCTGAAGTACAAGATTAATGCCTGGCACATTGTTTTGTAGTGAAGTGGAACCTGATTACAATAGATAATGATTTTTGATAAAAAAAATCTAAGTAAAATGACAAAACTAGCTATTATTAAAAATATTTAGCTCTTTGAATTTTGTATGTGAACATGTTCTTAAGTGAGCTCCATGGGCAATAACGATTATCGCACTTAGATAATAACTTAAACTGGGAAAAATAATGTCTTCAGTTTGTTGTATACTTACTAAGATACTATATTCTTTAAATATAAGATATCCAAACTCTTTTAAACATAAGGAAATATATTGAATGGCAGTGTCAATATTCATGCTCTTCTCTCCCTAAAAAAAGCTATGCAGCCCATTAATGAACTTGGTATTTGGCACAGTTGTTGTCTTCTAATTGGGGAGAATTTCATTCTATTTAATTCTCCCTTCAGACCATGTACTGAGGGAAGAGAAACCTTCTTCGTTCATTTAGCAGTCATTGAACACTTGCTCATGTGCCTAGGCATTCTGGATACAAGGGAGTAAGGCATGGTGGTTTCTTTCAAGGAACCATCATCTCTTCATCATTTCAGTAATATTAAAATCAGATGTTCTGGCAGGATGTATTCACAACTGTTTGACCCAGAATTCCATTTATAATACTTTATAAAGGGAATAAAAATGTGCACAGAGATTTATATGTACAAGGTGTTCATTAAAATATTAATTATAAAGGCAATAAAAAGAAATGAATTTTAGTACTTCCATTATATTTTCTAGATTTTCAATTAGAAACATGTTATTACTTAAATAATTAAAATTTATTTTAAAAATTCTGTTCTGGTGGATTTACATGAGTGGGTGGATAGAGGGTAGGCCCATTGTTGAATTCCATGATCAGCTAACTAAAAGGCAGTAAAGTGCTCATGTCCACGTTAGATCCCTAGTTCCACCACTTATTGTATGTATCACTCTAGCAAGTTGGTGATTTAAAATTCTGTAAACCTGTTTTGTTTTTTTTCTATATATAAAATGGGCCATAATAAGTAGTTATGAAGTTTGTTGTTAGGATTAAATGAAAGAGTGTATGTAACCTAGGAATATAAAATAAGAAATAGCTCAGTAAATATTTGAGGCTCTTGCTGTTACTGTATTTCCTTATACCCATTCCCTCCTTAATAGTTTTTCTCCATACCCTTCCTCTAGTCAGTCCAAATCAGGAATAGCAGTGGTTTGTTTGGTCTGACAACTCCCATTGCTTTGTAATAGTTAGTGTTCTAGAGGTTTCTGATGCTTTTGCCAAGCTCCGCAGGGCTGTCACCTGTTGCCTATGTTGGCCAGTTTTTTTTTGTTGTTTTTTTTTTTTTATTTAATTTTTTTTTTTTTTTAA